CGCGAGCCCCAGGCCGCCGTCGGAGGGCCCTCGGACCCCGCGCCTGTAACGGGCGCCGCCCCCGCCCGCGGCCCTCCCACTCCCCTGCGCCCCGCACCTTCTCCTCATGGCAGACGCCCCACCCAGTCAGCTGGGAGTCGAGACCCCCGAGCTCCTCCACGCGGGTCTGAACGCAGCCGCCACCCGCAAACGCTGACTGCCCGGCTCCACCTAGTTGCTCCGCGAGCCGTTGGGCGCCGCGGAATTTCAAAACGAGCCCGGCAGCACGCAGCTCGGCGATTGGCGCTGAGTCCGGACGCTCGTGGCGAAGCCCCGCCCCGGCCCCGCCCCGCCCTGCGGCGCCGTCGCGCGGCGCTGATCTCAGTGTTCGCGGGTCGTGTGAACTGCTTTTCCTCAATCCTCTAGACTCAGAGAACCTAGGAAATGACCTTCGGTGGGAATGTTCCCCAGATGTAGGAAACCGTACACCAAAGGGGGAGGGAAGGAACCTAGGGGCCTGATAGCGCTCTAGATAAAGCCATTAATCACGACAAACCTGTTCGGTATTATCGCCATTTCACAGAGAAAATTCTCAAAAAGACTTGAGTAGCCTGCCCAAGTCACATGATCGGTGAATAAGTTGAGATCACCTGGGCATTCTTTTCAAATTACATGAGTTTGTTACAAGAAAACTCTGAATTTGAAATGGACATCAAAGTACATTGGTATCCTTTTCTGTCTGAACGTTACTAATATCCCTAAATGCACACATATCACATTTTTTCATAATGATTCAGGGTTGCATAATTCCTGGCATAGTTATTTTATAACTCAATTATTTCTCTATTGATATGTAGATGATAATTTTTTAAGATAACCTTGGGATATTTTCATAGATAAATCTTTGCTTCTTGCATTACTTTTTGTGACTGATTCCTACAAGGGCGATGCTTTCTTTTAGTTGGGTTTTTTAAATTATTTATTTATTTAATTTATTTTTTGTCTTTTTTGAGACAGGGTCTCGCTATGCAGTTCAGGCTGGCCTTGAACTCACTTTGTAGCCCAAGCTGGTCTCGAACTTGCAATGATTCTCCTGCCTCAGCCTCCTGAATGCTGGGATTACAGGTGTGCATGACCACACCCAGCCTTGATGCTCCCTTTTAAACGCGGTTGTACAGTATGTATTAGTTCTCTGCCGGCTGAGCCTCCCGGGCCCTTCCACTTACCCTCAGCAGTGCTGAATACTACACTGTACTTTTAAACCTCATCCTTTAGAAGGAACAAAAAGGCACTTCTTTGGTTCATGCTTGTTTGATTAGAGTCTGCACTTGCACATTTTCATGTACCAGCCAACTGTAACTTCCGTAAATTCTCATCACTTGCCTTTCCCCCAAAGGTAAAGATGCTTGGCCTCCCCTCCAGAGTCATTATTTTCTTACTTTCAAAAAAACTTCATCAGTGCTTCCACTGCCTCTTGTCAGCAGTTTGCTGAATATTCACACCAATCCAGGAACCATTTCTTTCTTTTCTTTTTTTTGTCTTTTTAAGACAGGGTCTCACTGTGCAGTTCAGGCTGGCCTTGAGCTCACTTTGTAGCCCAGGCTGGCCTCAAACTCCCAACAATCCTCCTGCCTCAGCCTCCCAAGTGCTGGGATTACAAGGAACCATTTCTGAAATTTGTTTTCTTTTGTTTTGTTGGAGTTTTTGAGACAGGACCTTGCTACGTAGCCCAGGCCCACCTC